CTGCCGGGCTCCGTGCCCATCCCATCCCATCCTGCAGCTCCGCCAGGGCAGCACAAAGCACTGCAGGGACCACGCAGGGCAGGTGGGTACATCACTGGCTCACCTTCAGAGAGGGATTTTAGGGAACGCTTATTACCCAGGGAACTGCCTGGAATCTTCATTTTCCCCAATAATTCAGCTTTCCGTTTGAAACCGCTCCAAGTGCAATTCCAGACAAATCTGCTCTTCCCGTGCAGGTGCAGCCGGGATCATTCTGCACTCGGCACGGGGGACTCACCAAAGCTGGGGCTGTTCTAAGCCAGTCTAGAAATTACTCTAATTTTGCTGCACAGCTAAAACCTCTGCTGTTATCAGGAGCAAGAAACCTCACAGCACAACCAACACACACAGATCAATGAAAGGATCTCCTGTTCTAAAGCAGAAGTTTCTGTTAGAAAAAAAAACAACCCAAACAAACAGAAAAAAAAAAAACCACCCCAAACTGTGGTTTCTGGGAGAAACCACAAGTTTTCTAACCGTTTCTATTTCGGAGCTGGTGCTGGCTTTATGAAGCACGGGGCTATCAGGACGCTGTGCGATGGAGGAGCAGAGACTCCCTGGGTCCGCAGGCGCTGCCCGGAGCGCTGGCCGCACAAAGGAGGCAGTATCGGGCCGGGCTCCGGCAGCTGCGGGCCCAGGCCGCCACGGAGGGGCCGCCAGCCCCGGGCGCACAATCGGCCTCAGTTGTACCAACAAAGCGGCACTATCGGGACAGATTCCCCCCGGGAATGGGGCAGCTCATCCCGCGCTAGCGGGCGGGGAACGCTCCCTGCTCGCTGTGCAGCAGGAACTCACCTGCTCTGGGCCAGGAGAGGGGGCTGCGTTTGGTGTCCCCTGCAATTCCATTTCCCCACCCCTTCTCTCTCTTCAGAGAGAATGGACTCTCAAAATATTTAGTTTCAGGAAGAACACATTGATGAAAGAAGACACCTTGCCTTGGTTGGCATCTGTTGAAATGCAAGCAAACACCTTCCAGGAAGAGGTGCTGGTGAAACAGCCTGTTCCCACTAATGCACAAAGATACTGAAACCAGTGCCAGCTTTGCCCCCAGCCCCAGCCAGGTCGGTGGATGGCTCCCAGGAAGCAGATTCCCCTCGGGGGAAGCCAAACAGGCACTTACCAGATTCACTTTCACCCTTGGAGAAGCTGAAGGGCAAAGGAGATGGCAGCAGGCTCCCCGGGTAGTGCCAGGCACGAGTGTTGCTCCCAAAACTCACCAACTCCTCATCATCCCTGTCACAATGTTAATGAACTCATAACGTGGTATAATTAAAAACTGAGAGTGTGTCAGGAGGCACAGCCTCCTCCAGTTAACTTCTCCTACTGCTGTCAAACCTGGTTCATAGCACATTTCTGAGATATTAATTTAATTCCTCTATTTTATGTCAATCAGAGAACATGATGTTCCCCCCGAGGACGGTGGAACACGCTGGATCAGAATCTGAAATTAAAACACGGGGCACTTGGGGAAAGCCTTGCCTCACCCTGTGGTTTCCCTGCTCCAGCACTGCCTGGCTGCTCACAGCACGGTGATGGAAACAATTTATGGGGGAAAAGGGAATGCATGAGAGCTCCACACTAGGAGCAGGTTTATTACAGGATCTCACAGACACCACAGCTGGGACACAGAGAACAGAGTGGGTGGGTGATGCTGGGGCAGGAACAGACCAGCAGCTCCTCCTGCAGTGAGCCCAGCTCTCCCCTTGGAGGGGGAAAGCCAAAACAAGGGAGAACCCAGGAGGGCTCAGTTCCCTCCCATTCTCCAGGTGAGATGGAAAGGATCCTCTCCTCTCCTCTCCACGGGGAGGATTGCAGCCTTCTGGCACAGGTGTGGGCCCCACCAGCTCTGAGACTCCAGTCAGCAGCTTTGCAGGAAGGTGACACTCCACAGATCCCAAAGCAGAGAACACTGTGCAGCCATCTCCCCTTCCTGGGTGTCAGTGCCCTCCTGGAGCATCCACAGCGTGATCCAAACCACTGAGATAATCTCAGGAGCAAAAAATCCTCACATAGCTCCTGCTCCAGTAGTTGATCCACACACAAGTGAGACTTGGAGCACATCCTGCACCCACCAGAAGCAGGCTTGACAAACTACAGCCTTGCTGCAGCTCCAGCACACACACACCTTGCACGGGGAATTCCGAGTTCCAGCCTTCCTGCACGTGCCTTGCACAGGGAATTTCAAGTTCCAGCCTTCCTGCACACGCCTTGCACAGGGAACTCTGAGTTCCAGACTTCCTGCAGCTCCAGCACACACCTCTGACAGGGAATTCCGAGTTCCAGCCTTCCTGCACATGCCTTGCACAGAGAATTCCATGTCCCAGTTGGCTGAATTGCCCCTGAAGTTGGTGCTCCACACATCAATGAGCTCCTGGCGACCCTGCCTAGAGCCAGCAGCTCTGCCTGCACTCCCTGGCTCAGCTGTTTCAAAGTGATCCCTCAGGAGTGCCAGTGGGTCACTGCTCCTGCCCGTGGGTCCTTTGAGAGGGATCCTCTCCAAACTCCACTCCTGGCACACCAAACTCTTCAGGTTTTTCTTTGTGAAACACCCTGAGCACACCTGTACCCATTAAAACCCCTTTCACTTTCCTTCACCAGCAATGGAACAGATCCATTCCCAGTGGAGTTGGGGGTTTGGGTTGAAGTTCACCTTTGCTGCCCAGCTCCCACCCGTGTGCCATGGAGCCCCCACTGCCATTTCCCACATCCTCCTCTGGTAAGCACAGCCCAGCCTTCCAGGGCCAGAGCCTGCTCTGGGCACCCAAGGGAGCCACAGGGGGAAGGAAGGTCCAGCCTGGCCCCAGGGGTCACCCCAGATCCCAACTCCTGCTCCCTCCTCCATCCCCCCACAGCAGGGACAGTCACACAGACCAGTTCTGCCCCATTCATGCCCAGGACAAGCCCATGTGATCTCCTATCAACACTCCCTCCTTTAAACACGGGTAATTCATTCTTTTCCCCTCCCCGTTGCTGGATTCCACCCATTTCCCAGGGAACTGATCCTTTATTGAGGAGAAGCTCAAACATGGATGTTTCCTGTGGAACACTCCAGCTCTGTTCCACACAAAAGGCTTTTGTCCGGGCCCCAATGCGAGGGCGAGACTGCGACCAACAATGACACGGGCGTGTTTTTGTAAAAATTTTATTTGTCAAAGAAAAAAAGCAATGGCCAATTGAAACCTACGTCATCTTTAACTCCAATTTTGGTCTTTAAATTTAGACAAATGACTTATTTACTTTTTTTTTTTAAAACAAACCCCCCTTTTTCCCCTTTAAGGTTTACCATCTACTCGTGCTGAATCCTTCCAAGGAGATTGCTCCAGCGTACCTCTCCAGGTCCTCGCTTTGCTCCTTTTACCAAAAAAATGCAAAACTCCATCGTGCATCTTAAGGGCTCCAATCGTCAAAAATAGGAAAAAAAAATATCTTTGGAATAGCCAATTGAGTTGAATAAAAAAATCCACACGAATGCGGTTTGGTTGGGGCAGGAATCCACTCCTATGTTCCTGGTAATTTGATCCCGCTCCATGAATCCTTGTAATTCAGCCTCCCTATCCTATCCACATTATGATTTGAATCCAATGATCCAGCTCCAAGGATTGGGATCCAGTGAGCCCTCTCCAATCCAAACCTTTATAACCAGCAAAACCAAAAAAGAGGAGGCAAAAAGTTAGATACTGTAATGAAAAAATAGGATTCTGGGGAATGATCAGTTATGTTTGCCATCAATAAATGCAGATGTACAGTAATAACTATCAATTCCCCAAAACAAACTTTCCAATGGTGATGCTCAGATAATTTCTTTAGAAATGTTAATTACTATTTGGAGGAAACATTGTAAATATTTACAATATGTCAACTGGAAATGCCAACATACTCAGCGCATTGGTGGGTACGAGGTTTTGTGGTTGTAAAAAATGGTTTTTACTAAACTGGAAAAGCTTTAACTGCTCGGTCTATCCACCTACTATGGAATGGCTGGACTACAGCTGCACTCCCAGCTGGAGGGAACGTTAACAATCGGTGTTTTCACACGGATCGTGAGTCAATCGTGAATTAGTCTGAGGGGGCAGGGCTGAGACTTAAATTATTCCCCACTAGGTTTGCTATTTTTATTTTGCTTTCATTCTGGTACTTATAAAAATGCAACAGCCACGCTGTATCAGTCACACAGAGGACATGCAGATTTTAGCAGTATTGATATTATACTCTGATTGCAAGTTCTACTACAAGTGTACAGATACTACGGACATGGACACTTGTAACCAAACGCTGCGGGACAAATAAACCAATGCTCCCCCCCGGCCCGTTATTCCTTTAGAAAACTAGAATGGAATAGAGAATTACAAAAGCAGGGATCTGGCCACAATTGCCCCCCCAGAGAAGGAAGTTTTAAAAGAGAAGAGCAATGGCAGCCTGCGGTCACGAGGACATGCCTGAAGCCACACGTGGGGACACGTAGGTGCTCGGCCTCAATTCCCCTGTCTCTCAGTATAAGGTCAATACTGCCAAGTTCATCTGTGACAATAGCACTTGGAGTCATACCATTGCCTCCATTATTGATCTGATCCTCCTCAATCCTCCTTTTGACAATCCTAAAATGATTGACATGTGCTCCACAATCCTTTAATCCAAAGCATTCTTAATCCATCTCTTCAGATATGTCTACAGAAAGACACACGAAAAGGCAAGATAAAATGTAAGATCCCCCAGAAGAGACAAGTTAGCCACAAACATCCCAACATCCCCAGCTCGTCTCGACCACAGTGGAACACTGAGACATTTACACAGCAATACCACAGCTCCAAGAATGCTGGTATTGAACTAGAACTAAACCAGAACAATCCTGACTGACAGCAATTAAAATACAATTTACCAAAGACAGGAGGGGAATGTCGGTGTCGAGGAGCAAATACTCACTAGGGATTTTACACAAGAATGCAATTCAACACTTCAGCCAATTCGAGTAAAACAGTTGGAATTTAAAAAAAAATAAATGAAAGACTGTACTAAGTAAAGGAAAACTGTATACAACATGGGGTTCTACAAAAAGATCAGAGCTAGAGTGATGTTTATGTACGAGATCGGGATCTGCTGTGGCGGGGAGAGTAGCGTGGAGATCCTCTGCTTCTTCTTGGGGAATAACTGCGGCTTCTGCTGTTGCTGCGACTACGGCTCCTGCTACGACTACGGCTGCGGGACCGAGATCTTCCATAGCTTGGGCTTCTTGGGCCATCAACTTTAACACGGATGTAGGCAGTTTCTCCCTATTGGATAGACAGAACTTTCGATTGAAACGTCGAGGCTTCAGGGCCATGTTTCAGGCATGCTGACAGACTGCAGACAGCGTTACTACGGCCGGGACAGACAGCAGAGCTTACACGTCTATGTCCAGCCTGACCACACACTTATTTAGCTGCTCCGTAACCAAACAATGACCACCACGCGTTCCTTACCTTCACATCCTACTGTTAAGCCCCTTGTATCCAATTCTGGCCAAAGAAAGTAAGTGTGATACCTACCTCGTGAGATCTAAATTTAGTGTTATCCAGCTTTCGCACAGCGTAGGTCATGTCTTCCTTCCGCACAAACTCCACGACACCAGTGCCATCTCGGAAAACATCAGCATAACATACATCACCTGCTTCACGCATGTGATCCTTTAAATCCTGCCAACTTCCACTTGGAGGCAGCCCTAGAGAAAAACCAAAACGTGACTTTAAAACAAGATTAGAGCCTCACCTCCCGCATTACGGCAGCAAAAGCGCAGCGAAGGAGAGGAGCGCTCAGCACCGCGGGGACAGCACCGCTCCCCTCCCAAAGCACACGGGGCCACGCTTTTTAAGGAGAAGCTCGCAGCAGCACCGCGCCCGCAGGACCCCGGGGGAGCACTCAAGCTGAGAGAGAGAGCAATGACTCACCCGAGACGATCACTCTGTACTCCGAGCGCCGGGACGGGGGGCCGTACCTGCCCCGGGGGGCTCCTCCCCCCCCGCCGCCGCCGCCTCCTCTGCCGGTGCCGCGGCCGCTCCGGGGGAACTCCACGCGGAGGCGATACCCATCGTAGTCGTAGCCGTCCCGCCCGTAGACGGCGTCCTCCGCGTCCCTGCGGGCGGCACGGGGCGGGCGGTGAGCGCGGCCGCCGCACCGCCCGCCTTTGTTCCCGCTTCCCGCCCGCCTCTCCCCGCCCGCCGCCTGGCCGGGCCCCGTTAGCGCGGCCCGGGCCGCGGGGCAACGCTCCCGGGCGGGCACCGACGGCTCCGCGGGGCTGGGGGACTCGGGGCAGCGCCAGAGGGCCTCACCTGGGGTCCTCAAACTCGACGAAAGCGAAGGGCGGGCCCCCGCGGCGGTTCTTCAAGTCGATGTCGCGGATGGCGCCGTACTTGTAGAACACGTCCTCGATGTCCTTGGTGCGGATGTCGGGGGGCAGGTTCCCCACGTAGATGCGGCAGTCGTTGTTGCCGGCCGGGCCGCGGATGACGCCGCCGCCGGACATGGCGAGGTCGGCAATGTTTGCGGCGGCGCGGGGCGGTGCGGGCGGCGCGGGGCGGCGGTGGCGGGGCCGGGCCGGGCTCTCGGAACGCTCGTCACCTCCCCCGACCGCCGCTTCAAAATGGCGCCCGCGGCTCCGCTCGCGCTGCCTCTGCGCGCACCGATCTCACCCCGGGACGCAGCACCGGCCGCAGCACCGCCCGCGCTCACGGCGGACCAGCAGCGCACGCGTCTTCCGCCGCGCCCTCGCTCTTCCGCCCCGCGCATGCGCGGTTCCACCGCAAAGTAGTCCCTCGGTTCTCGCCGCTTCGGAGAAACCGAGTCCGTGCGGGGGGCCGCAGCTGCGGGGCGCGGGGCTGCGGGAGCTCGATTATAACGTGGGGAGCCTGCGGTCCCCGCGGCAGATGAGAGACGCTCCTCCCGCCAGCGGCTTAAACGGCGGAGGCCGCGTGACGTCACGTCCGGTGCGGCGCCCCGCGCCTTTAGGCCCGGCCGGGGATGGCGCGGCCCACAATGCACCGCGCGGGACGGCGGGCGCGCTTGGCGCCAAGCGCGGGGCGCCTCCCACAATGCATCGCGGGCGGGCCGCCATGGCGCTGGCCTCGGTGTCCCCGCTCTGTCCTCGGTGTCCCCGCTGTGTCCCCCGGGTGGCCCCGCCGTGGGCTGAAGGGCTCGTTCAATGCGCTGTCCCGGTGTGCCGTGCCCCGGGGCAGGAGAAAAACGCTGTGCCCGCTCCCCGGGGGGCAGGACCCAAAATGGCCGCTCTGGGGGCTCAGGGGGGCAAGGAGCTCACTCAGCTTCTTCAGGGTTTAAATCTCCTGGGTTTGGGACTTTGCCCCGCTCGCGGTGTGTCTCCCATTGCTGAACCCATGGGATGGTTCTTGGGGCTCTTGCATCCAACATGATGGGCTTGAGCAAAATAAACTTTAGGGGTGGGCTTGACTTGGTGTCTCAGTTAATAAAAGTGGAGGAACAAAAAGCGTTAAAAATTGGGGCAAAGTTGCATCCCGAGTGGACGCATTTGAGAACACTGCTGAGGGCTGCTTGCTCCTGCTGAAGAATGTTCTATATTTATGAAGGTTTAATGTAGGGTCACATGAAAAACAGACTCAATGCAAAAAAGGATATCCTGGGGAAGAAGCAGGACGAGAATCCCCCAATATGTTTGTTTATAAAATTATAATTTGAATAAAGACACTTTAAAATAACTGGAGTACTCTGCATTGTCACAAAGCCCTCAGAGATGTGTTAAAGCAGCTTCAGAGTGAGAAACCACTTCCATGTGCCCCTGTCCACGAGGTAATACAAAAATGCGAGTGAGCTCGTGCTAAAAATTACTGAAATAAATGATCTTGTGCAGTCTAGGTGTCTGTCACTGATGGATCCCTGGCTGTTTGTATCAGCACAAGACCCATGTGGTGCTGGAGAGGTTCAGCCACCGAAACCACCATGAGGGGTTAAAAGTGTCAGAGTGTGGAGAGAAACCTTTTAGGCTGATGAGTTCATTAAGGGATTGTGAAAAATGCATCCTGCCTCTTCCTGGCTGCTCTCATTTGTCACATTTGTTAATGACAAATGCATATTCCTCTGGAAAAGCAGCAGTGGGTGGCTGGCAGGAAGGGTGTGCAGTGTGACATCAGGACTCTGTGGCTGTCACAGGTGCTGCTTGTTTTCTCCCCCAGGGTTTTTAAGGAGGAATGTTCCTGTTGGGTCACCAAGGGGTTAAACAGCAGCAGAGGGGGGTGAGAGAGCCCATCCTCACAAGAGGCAAAGGGTAAATTCCCCCATCCCGTCTGGGGATGTTCTCACCTGAGACAGAGTTTTGGGGTTTCAGTTCTCTTTGTAGTGGGACACAACACGGGGAACAGCAACCACAGCCATGGATCTGTGTAACCTCAGGGGGTAATCTGGGGGAAATAATGGTCTTTTAAGATTATTTAACAAGCTACTCGCAATTTAACCAGCTGTTCAGCTCAGCAGAAACACTTTTTGGAGTTCCCATCCCTGGCAGTGTCTGAGGAATGTCAGGATGTGACACTCAGTGGTGACAGGGTAGGCGCGGGTCAAGGACTGGACTCGGTGATCCCGAGGTCTTTTCCAGCCTCTGATTCAGGGATTCTGTGATCCCTGGCAGTGTCCCAGGCCAGGTTGGACAGGGCTTGGAGCAGCCTGGGACAGCGGAAGGGGTCCCTGCCCATAGCAGGGGTGGCACTGGGTGAGCTTTAAGGCCCCTCCCAACCCAAACCCTTCTGTGATATTAAAAACACCTAACAAGTCCCCTCCCCACATAAAACCCCATGAAGATCCTGATTTTGCTTGTCCCAGGTGTAGGGAAACACCATCCCTTGCCAAGAAATGAGTCTCTGTTTTAAAAAACTCATTAAAACCACTGAAAGTTATTCTTAAAGGCATAATAAACCAATGGTAGGTCTGCCTGCTTGGTGAAAACCCTGTTGCATAATTTCTTTTGTGTCTTAATAATCCTCATAACTGCTTTAAATGATTCTCTTAATTACCTTAATGAAGTGTCTCTTTATAGAAGTATTAGATGTTTTCTTCCTCATTACCTTCCTCAGGTCTGTGTTGTCACTGGACTGTTTAGTTGGATATGCTGCACAATACTTATTTCTCAGAGTCATTTTTGCCTTTCTAGCAAAACACACATGTGGGGAATTAATAAGTTACGTAGAAAATAAATTCCTGGGAAGGCAAAGGCAAATAATCTTACTAAAAAAAGAAGCTAACCACTGTAAAATGTCAAGGTTTTGTCCTCAAAATGGGAGCAATGGAAACCAGGGCTCTCCAAAGGAAAATAATGCAAATATTGCCCACATAACATCATTGCTTTTTGTTATTGCTGATGGAGCTTGGGAAGCAGGAGGTTTCCCAAGCAGAGCTGCAGGGCTGGGGCTGTGGCCCACGCTTCTCATCGCCCAGCTCTGTCACAGAGAACCTGTTTGTCCTAATCCAGCTGGATTGGTCCTGACTAATCTTACTGTGTTGCAAAATAACAGTTCATCAAAGCCCAGATTGTTTGGGACAAAAGGGTCGTTTTCTTAACAGGCATCTGAAGTCTTTTATTTTTTTAAGAACTGAGGGATGAACTGTCCAAGCTTGCCATTTCCCTCCTGTAACTGTCCTTTGGAATCTGCTGCTGGAGGGCTTTCCTTGGCATTTCACCACTAACTTGAAACCACACAGGTTGTGTCTTTGGAGGTGAAATACAAAGCTGATATTTTGTGTGTGTGTGTGTGTCCATTTTAAATAGTGCTTCAAAGTGATCAAACTTACTGTTTTGCATGTAGGAAAAGGATGCAAAAATACCAGTCTGACTTTTTCAGAGAAACTCTGAGCTTAAGATAAGACAAGGAAAGTGTGTGTAAGCTTGAAAAGAATTCCCATAGCAGCGGATGGTGACAGAGCTCGTTTTGTTTATGCAGATTTAACTGTAAGCAAAGAGATTTCCTCTGCACATGCTGGGGCATGTCTGGATGCAAACAGAAAACACAGCACACTGCCAGTGGGAGTTTTTCCTGGAAGCCAGCCCAAAAGGACACACACGGGTGGAGACTAAAAGGAGAAAAGCCAGACGAGCAGAGGTAACACCACCGGAATTCAAATCGTCCCAGGTGGATTGGGAATGCTCATTTTTTAAATTTCCAAACCCTGCTGTTTTCCCTTTGTGAGAGCAGCCACACCATACAGGTGGTCCCATGATGTGCTCAGATCCAAGGTCCCCAGAGCAGAGTGAGGGGGCACAGGGAAGCAGAATCAGTTAAATTGTGTGTGGTTATTTTTTGGGCTGGTAGCAATAAAAGGTTAATTTTAAAAAATTAAAAATAATAAAAACCATGGGTTTGCTGAGATTTCTGCTGTCTTGTTTTCACGTTACTTGGATTTGCAGCGATTCCCACATGCCAGCACACCATGGCTGGAGCTGGGAGGGAAAGGGGCAGCAGTTAGCGCGGACCAGAAAGTTTCAGTGAGCCCCCCCAATCCATTTTCATGGATTTATTTCCCTTGGAAGGCTTTTCTGTTCATCCTGAGCTCTGCCATTGCTCCCTGCCTCCCGCTGTCACCGAATATCGTGGCAGCTGCTTGCATTGCTCTTCCCTCTCCCTGCCTGGTGGGATGCTCCAGGGCCTGACGAGGAGAGGGAGGAAAATGAATGCAAACTGTCAATGTAAATAAACCTGCTGACATTTATTCCTGCTAAGGAATAAATAAGTGGAAAGGAGCGAATCCATTTGGGTCGCTCATTTCAGAGGGAACCTCGTGGTTTGCAGGGACTGGGCAGCGAGGGTTTTCCTGCAGCTTCTCCTTTTCCTTTTGCTGTTTTTATTTCCCTGTGCATTTTCCTGGAGTTGCCTCCTTTCCCCTCGATACATTCCCACACTCCAGGCGTGTGGCACACAGCTGGCTGTGCCATCCACACTGGGATCTGGTGAGGAGTCACTGCCACAGCGCACGGGTGGCACAGCTTGGGGCTCACCAGCCCCTCCTGGCTCTTCCCTTCCCACCACCTGTGTTCCAGCTGGGAGTGAGCAGTGCCATCCTGACACAGGGAGCTGAAACTGTGTTTGTCCATTAGAGGTATTGATTGCTTCTTATCTGGCCATGGTGTGGCATCTGTCACCATCCCTGCCAGGACACTGCAGGGCCACGGCCAGCAGGAGCTCTGCACTTACACATCCCCGGGATGTCTCTGTGGGGGCCATGCCGCCCAGCCAAGCCTTGGGAGCGTGGATAGAGCTGGATCTCTTTGTTCTCCAAAAATAACCCAGATTTGCCAGGCCTGAGTGGTTTTTAAAAGGAGGTTTTCCATTAGCTCTCTGTGGAGAGCCGCTGGCAGCGCTGCCGACGTCCCCGCTCCCTCCCCGGCTTTCAGCACCACACAGCCCCTGTGGCATCAGTGTGGGCTTGCTGATTTTATTTAACACAAGGAACTACAACGAGAGAGAAATGCATTAAGATTGGTTTCTAGCAGAATATTTTAAAATACAAATAAAGTTTTTGGAGCCGTTTTGTGGGCGCTGTAACTTTATGTAAACACTGGAAGAGGCAAGGGACTGTGATAACCATGTGAAACAAAAACTCACAGAGACCAGGGTGGGAGGGACACTGGGCCATATATTTTTCCTGTTGAGGCTCAATGAAAGGCAAATAAACGAGGAAAAATAAACTCAACGTTTACAAAAGGGCCAGCGTGGGAGCAGCTGCCAAGGTCTGGAGCAGTTTGCTGATCCCAGTGTCCAGGTACTGCTGAAAGGATTCTGCCCCCACTGGAAATCCTGTTCCACAGCATTTTATTATCCAGACATCCCTAATCTAGGAAACCTCATGGTTCATATCCCACTAAC